CTACTGATTGGAATATGTTCCTTGAGATTCGTTCTAAGCACATAATAAATATGTAGGGAGATAGGGGATCTCCTTGACGGATACCCCTAGATGGTTTAAAGAAGTTAGTACGTGATCCATTTATTAATACAGATATGAAAGAAGTTGTAATGCGGGACATTATTAGGCTAGTGAGTTTGTGGGGTATATTGAAATAGTGAAGTGTATTCTTTATGAAGGACCATTCAAGCTTATCAAAAGCTTTTTCCAGATCTAATTTGAGTAACAGTTGACCCGTTCTTCCTTTTTATGCAGGACATTTCTTTTTTTTTTTTGAAATGGTTAAGAATTTTCTGGACAATAATGGCATTGTCTGAAGCACGTTTTCCCTGTTGGAAGCTTGATTGTGTTGGTCCAATTATTTGGTGGAGGAAAGGTTTTAGTCTACTACAATAATTATAGTAATTAATTTATAAATGGTGTTGCAAAGACTTATAGGACGGTATTGAGTGATTGCTACATCATTCTTTACCTTAGGAATAAGGCACAAATAAGTGTTGTTGATTTCTTCAGGAATTTTGCCTTGATTGAAAGCATTGTAACAACAATTAATAAGGGGTTGACTAACCTCATTCCAATATTTTTGAAAGAAATATGGGTGTAGTCCATCTGTCCCTGGTGCCTTAAAAGGTTAGAAGGAGAATAGTGCTTATTTTATTTCCATTAATCTTAATGGTTGTGTCAATTGTTGTTGATCAGCATAGGTTAAATAATTAAGCATAGTTGAATGATCCCTTATTTGATTAGAAAGTGATTGTTGTGTCGTGAATAAATTTGAGTAGTATTGATAAATTTGTTCATGAATTAGTATTGGATCATAAGTCCAATTCCCTACAGTGTCTTCTAATGCATTTATACGATTACGTCTTCGTCTTTGTTACGTCGACATGTGGAAAAATTTAGTGTTAGCATCTCCGTCGTTTAGCCACTGTATTCTGAACTTTAATTTCCAAAAGTCTTCCTCTTGCCTTAGTAGAGCACTGAATTCATGATTTAATTGAATCTCTAGGTTTTGCAAGAAATTGCTTATAGGATAGTGTATGGATTGTTGAATCCCATTAAGCCTAGCTAGTATTTTCCTTTTCCTAACGAAAATATTTCCATACGTGTGTTTATTCCAATAGTTTACGTTATGCTGGAAATTAGTCATAGCTTCAACTATTGATGGATAATTTTGCCATTGACTGTTGAATTACATTTATGAGTGAAGGGTTTGTTGTCCATATTTTTTCAAAACAAAAAATATTTTTTCTAGGTATTTTATTTGGTGCCAGTGTTACCAAGAGAGGGCAGTGATCTGAATACGTATGGGGGAGGTGTTGCACTATTGTTTCAGGAAATATTTGAAGCTAGTCGTAATTTGCTAATAGTCTGTTTAGCCTTTCCAGTATAGTATATCTATTTTTTCGTTTATTAGTCCATGTATATCTACTTCCCTTAAACCCTAATTCTACTAATTTATAATAGTTAATACAGTGTGCAAAGGCGTCCACCCTTGTATTATTGATTGGATTTTCACCAAATTTTTTATTTTATCTAATTACCTCATTAAAGTCCCCTCCAACTAACTATGGACCCTTATATGGATCATAGATGCATTTTAAGTTCTGCCACAACACATTACGTAAGGAGGTTGAGTTAATAGCATAAATAGAAGAAAATAGCCATTTAATAGGGTTAGGACATACCCGGACCGTGCAGTGCACCTCCTGCGTAGTCATTGTAACATCTTCCACTGTTACCATGTCTGCATTCCACAGTAATACTATACCTCCTGACATTCCTTGTGCCTCAACTTGTGCCATATGTGAGAAGTTAAAATCATTTTTTAAGACAGTGTGATCATGCATACGTGTTTCCAGTAATACCACTAAGACAGGTCTGTAGTTATCTAAGAGTGATCTGAATTGCCTTCTAAATTCTGCATTGTTCGAACCCCTACAATTCCATTCGACTAAATTCATGATGGGTTGTAGGTTGATAGGTTCATCTAGGTCAGCAACCTCAGTCATTGCTCCCATTGGAGCCTGAGTGTTCTGGTGTCGTGTAGGGTTCTGCCTCAGGGATGGGATTATCACCATGGAATATTTCCCCTCCCGTTGGTTCTGATTTACCATGAAGTTTACACTGCATGTTATGAGTTCTGGAGGGAATTTCAATATGAACTTTTTTGCATACTGCTCCTTTAGGCTGTAGAGATAGAATCCCTTTAGCCAGATGAACTATGTTCTGGTTTCCCTCATTTCCTCCATAATTTGTGCTAACTCGAGCCTTGTTTGCTCTCCTAGTGCGTTTGGCGATGGAGGTGGAGTTATTGGGGGACTGAGGAAAGGTGACATGTTTCCTGGACACTCGTTGGAGATAGACTCATGTGTGGGGTGAGAAGGAGTTCATGTGTTGGAACCATGGTGCATATATCATCCCCATGTGGTGTTGTGGGTAGAATGGGAGAGAACCTATAACTTGGTTGAAGTTGTATAGGGGTGGAAATGTCGGGTGAGCCCATGGTGACTGTGTCGATGAGGATGGGCTTGTGTGTTCCAACACTAGAGGAGTGTGGATGTTGGACCACTGTGACCGAGTCACTGCTTCCATCCCCAACCTCATCCCTTTTGTGACAATCTCCGCGAGATGAGTTGGGTTTTGGACTAGAAGGATTATCTCCTGGTTGTTTAGCTCCATTGTAAAGATTAGAGAGTATCCCTGTAGCCCTATCTCTAACCATGATTAGAGTGGATATTCTAGTGGTGGTGTTTGGGAGGTGTAGATCAGTGGGGTTGTAGGCTGTGGGTGAGGTGGGCCGTTCATGATCAGGCGAGGGAAGTGAAAGTGTTTGATGGTTGATCTGGCGGTTTTCTCTGAAGGTTGTGTACCAAGGTCGTTGCGTTGTTGATTGTTTTATTTGATGTTGTTATATTAGGGTTAGGCAGGCTGTTTGGAGTTTCAGTCGTGGTAGTAGTGTTAGTTGGTTAATTGTGCATAATAGGGGTAGGGTTGAGTAGAGAGAGTGGATTAGCACATGGAGGGTAATGATGAGTGACCATCAGAATTGGAGAGAGTGTTGTGTACTTGGAGAAGGTAGGTTTTTGATTGGCTGTTGCTGGGTGGCATGCAGAGAGATGGTTTGGAGGTGGTCGGAGGTGGAAGTTGTAGGGATTTTGTCAGATCCTTGGTCAGGGGTAGCGTGTATTGGTAGATGAAGGGTTTTGGGTGAGTCATCTACATTGGGTTCTGTTATGAAATGTGGTATAGTATTAGTGTCCATTAGGTCGTTTGTGTGTGAGTCAGCTATTTTTTTAAAACAAGTGGAATTATCAGTTGATTTATGTACAATATTATTTTTAACGGAGTTATTATTAATACAGTTGTTATGAGCAGCTTGGAAACCACTCTGGGCCATTACTAAATCTTTTATCATTGTTTGACTCATCGGACCATCCTTTGGTTGTGTTTTGATAGGCCCAGGCCCATCATTTGCGTTTGCATAGGTGGAATCCAAATTCTGTAATTGGCCAAACGTGTTGGCAAACAATAGTTGAGTAAGGTTTGTGACCTTACCTGGCGCCAGCTGTGCAGCTGTCGTCTCCACCGCCTTCCTTTTCCCCATTGGACCCTCCATCGGAGGATTGTGTGAGTCAGTTTGTGGTCGATGTTGGTTGCTCCTGTTATATTTGGTAGATGATTTTTTTGGAAAATCTACTATTTTCCATTCTGAATCCTCTTTAGATGGAGTTATTGATGTGGTGGGGGGAGTATGTGGAATGGGTGTAGTAAGAGTGGGTATGTAATTTAGTGGTGGTGTGTGGGAAAATTGGCAACTCCAGTGTGCATGCCTAAAGCGGCCACATTTTGTACATAGTAAGTTTAGACCTTCATAGAGTATAACCTATTTGTAGTTACCTATATTAACATGTGTCTTTAGTGATTTTTTCAATGGTACTTCGATGCATATCCGGGCATATCTCCCTCTCGTTGTAGAAGTGGTGCAAGTATCAATCTTTAGGAGTTGTCCTAATTTTTTGCCTACCTTTTGTAGTATGTGAAAATCATAGAACTCCGTTGGAAGTTCTGTGAGACGTACCCATAGAGCAGCATATGTTAGTTGTGTTGTAGAAGCGATAAATTTAGGCTCCCAGTGGCGAACAGAGAGGAAGTAATTTAATATGAACCAAGGCCCTTCAGGTAAAGCTTTACCCATATTTTCGTCATGATGAAATTTGATAAGGAATAAATTGCATCCCAAGTCGATGAGATGAATTTCTTTGGTTGGTTTCCATAAGATTGTTAACTTTGTTTTTAACCGTTGGTGTCCAACCACTTTTCCAAAGACCTTTATTATTATAGAATTTTTCCAAGGATTGTATAGTCGAGATTTCTCTTCAACTGTTAACTGAATAAAATTGTCTAGGTCATCCTCATTGGATGTTTCATCAGTTAGGTCGCCTGTGCTTTGGATGGGTTGGGAGTTCGAAATGTAAGTTGGCATATAGGAGTTTGAAGTTAGTGTTTGAAGAAAAGATTTAGTTGGTGTGTGGATTTCAGGTTTGTCAATTTGCATACTATCTTGATTTGGCGGATTCATGATTGGTTGTGTTGGATTAAACGGGATGAGTGGAGAAGAAGATAGAGAGGACAAATATGTGGGATGTAGTAGGCCTCATGATATTTCCATTTCTTTTTGGTACTTTGGCAACCTTTTCCACTATTTCTTTTAAACCTTGAATTTCATTTTAACATATTCAGCTACTCGTGAAGGAATGACGTTTTTTTTCTTTTTGATACTCCATTTTCTTTTAATAGAATTAAGAGGTTATTATACACCCCGCAGCTTTTTATTAGCTTAAAGATTTTGTTTTTTTTTTTTGGTTAATCATAAGAACTAAGACGAGTTTGAACACTAAACTTAGATAGATTGGAATATGAATAAGATCAAATAATCTACTAGAATTTTTCATGAAAGATGAAATTAAAAAGTGTGAGATAGTTAATTTATTTAAGTTTACACCCCAAAAAAAACTTGAATCTAATCAAAAATTGTACATTGATCTATTCTACTTGACATGTATTATTGCATGGCAGCTTCGAGCTACCCGATACATGTTGTCCGTTATTACAATTGAAATAGAACTATATATAGTTACAACAACAACAAACTCACTATAATATCACAAAGTGGGATACTGAGAAAATAGATTATACGTAATAATCCTAATACTTTAGAAAGAGAAACGAAAGAATTGATCAAATGCTTTTTAATTCTTATAATTACTTGAAGAAACTTCCAGCCATCTTTAAGAAGTCTCCTTTTTTCTCACCTATCCGTAGAATCTCTGGTGGGGCTACGGTCGCCGTCGTCGGAATCTTTTTTAAACATACCTTGAGCCATTTTCATGACACCGCCGAACCCACCTCCGGAATCTCCATCATCCTTCTCCGGACCATCTTCGTCACCGGACTTTTTCTTAAGCATTCCTTGAGCTTTTTTCAAATACTCGCCGTACCCTCCACCGGATTCGCCATCACCTTTCTCTGAACCATCGTCGTCACCGGACTTTTTCTTAAGCATTCCTTGAGCTTTCTTGAGATACTCACCATAGCCACCTCCAGAACGATCATCATCTTCTTCTGAACGTTCATGTTCGGAGTTGTCACCAAATTTTTTCTTCAACCTCCCTTCAGCTTTTTTCATATGTTCGCCGTGCCCGCCTCCGGCGTGATCATCATCATCAACTTCCTCTGAACGTTCATGCCCATGATGGTCACCACCAGATTGTTTCTTGGACATTCCTTTTCCCTTAGTCCTATGTTCGTCGTGCCCTACTGAGACATAATATAATATAATTAATGAAATAGAGTAATTAAAAGTGAACTTTTCGATAAGATTATTACATAATTTAAAATGAAATTAGAGCATAGCTCCTAGGTTCATATCTCACCGCTACTCAAAAAAATTATATTACTGTTGTATTCCTCCGGAAAGATTTACATAAACTAGAACGTAAGGAGTATAAATAAATAATTAGAGATCTTTGTAACAGTAATTCAACATATATACTCACCTGCAGCATGATCATCATCATCCTCTAAACGTTCATGTTCGTAGTTGTCACCAAATTTCTTCTTCAACCTCCCTTCAGCTTTCTTCATATGTTCGCCATGTTCACCTCCAGAATGATCACGATCACCTTCCTCTGAACGTTCATGGCCACCAGATGGTTTCTTCGGCATCCGTTTATGCTCTCCGTGCCCATCATCATCATCTCTGGAATTGTCGTCATCGCCCTTTGGGCGATGCTCCGACAAGCCCTTGTTTGCTGCAGTACCGGAACCCTTTTTGGATGCGGGACCAGTGCCGGTGCCGGTTCCGGTGCCAGCAGCTTTGTTGCCTTTGGAATTTTTGAGCTCATAACCGTGGAGATAATCTTCAGCTTGTCCGATATACTTTCCAATTCCTTCTTCCCCAAATTTCCCATAGTGTGAGGCGGCGCTAAGAATGTCAGCGGCAGCTCCGGCAAGCTTTGCATTGTCGAATTCTTTTTGTGCGCCGTCACCGCCACCTAATTTGGATTGTGCGGCATCAGCTATCAGCTTTGCGCTAGCCATCAGCTCAGAATTTGTTGGCTTTTTGTGCTCATTGGGATTATGAGCAGCGGCACCGCCGCTTCCGGCGGCGGTCTTGCCACCTGCACGCGGGCCGGAGGTTTTCTTTTCACGGTGGTCATCGGAAGTTTCTGTGTCGTCATTGTGTGCGGCGGTCTTGGCGCCACCACCACGGTGGCCGGAAGTTCTCTTTTCACGGTGATCATCATCGGCAGTTTCTTTGTCACGGTGGTCGGAAGTTTCTTTGTCATCTTTGGAACTGAGAAATTCCTTTCCCTTTGCAAAAAGGGCGTCCATTATTATTAAAAAGTGAAGTAAAAATTGATTTTTTTTGTTTTTGAGTGTTGATGAAAAATAAAATGTGCTTTAAATGGGAAGGATAATAAAAAATGGTGAATGTGAAAATTTATATGGGTGTTTTAGAGATATTTACTGAAGAATGGAGCGTTGAACAAAATTTTCGTAATTTTATGGCTATAAAGTCAACACCGTAGAGTAAGTATAAGTGAACAACGATTGTTTTCCGCATAATACTAAGGTTCTTCTTCAAATTAAAAGAATAAAAAACGGACTATCTCACAAATGCACATTAAACTGTTGTTAATATACTTTTTTTTTTTTAGTTTCTTTCTAATTAGGTCTAGTTTGGCACAGAAGTGTGTTTGTTTATATAGGACATGTTAATTAATCGTGTATTATCATAAGCTAAGTTGTGATGACCCTAAAGGTCATCTCTTGTTTTAGAAGTACAAAACTGTGTACCGAGGCATTGAAAACCTCTTTTTATCTCACATCGATCTGCGTGCGCAGTCCGGGCGCGTTTCCGGAAGCTTTTATGTAAGATTTTTGAAAAATAATGAAATTGGCCTTTTAAATTGATTAAAGTTGACTTTGGTCAACATTCTTGGTACACGGACCCGGACCCGTGATCTGACGGTCCCGTAGGGTCCGTAGTAAAATATGGGACTTGGGCGTATGCCCGGAATCGAATTCCGAGGTCCCAAGCCCGAGAAAAGAATTTTTAAAGAAAATTATTTGCTGGAAAATATAAAGGTTTCTAGAAGTAAAAATGATGCATTTTCTTGATGGTATCGGGCCCGTATCTTGGTTCCGGAGCCCAGTACAAGTTTAAAATAATAAATAAGTTGAATCTATGAAATTTGATAAGAATCGGAGTTGATTTGGTACAAATCGGAACTTTAGTTGAGAACGTGGAAATTTCAATATTCTTGAAGAATTTCATGAATTTGAGGTTAAATTCGTAGTTGTTGATGTTATTTTGAAGATTTGATCGCACGACCAAGTCCGTATGATGTTTTTAGACTTGCGTGCATGTTTGGTTTGGACTCCCGAGGGCTCGAGTGAGTTTTGAATAGGCCACGGAGTGAATTTGGACTTAGGAGAATTGCTAGTATGTTGCAGCTGTGTAACAGGCCTATGATCTCGCAATTGCGAGATCAGACTTCACAAATGCGAAGTTCTTGGGCTTGGGAAATGCGACCCAGGCGTCGCAAATGCGAACCAAGTCTGGGCAGGCCCTCTTCGCAAATGCGAACAAAGACTGGGAATTGCGAAGCCCACCCATCGCAAATGCGACATTTTCCTTCGCAATTGCGAAGATGACCGGTTTCCAAAAGGTTCGCAATTGCGACATCTGAGACCTATAAGTGGGATTTTTGACGGGTTCTTCTCCATTTTTACAACTTTTCAAAACCTAAACATCACATATGCGATTTTCCAAAAAGAGATTCTTCCCCAAATCATATGTAAACAACTTCTAACTTATTTTCTTCAATCTATACCATCTTTTTACATGATTTCACTTCAAAATCTAGGATTTTCATGGGAAATTGGGTGTTTTTGGGTAGAAGTTAGGATTTTCAAATTTTGGGGATTTGGACCTCGATTTGAGGTCCGATTTCAAAACTAAATACATATTTGAGTTCGTGAGTGAATGGGTGATCGGGTTTTGTTTCGAACTTCGGGTTTTGACCAAGCGTGCCAGAGGTCGATTTTTGACTTTTTGGAGAAAACAATGGAAAATCTATTTTCATGCATTGGAATTGGTTTATTTAGCATTTATTGATATCGTTAAGTAATTTGTGGCTAGATACAAGCGATTGAAAGTGGAACCGAGAGGTAAAGCGGTAGTAGAGGCTTAATTTGTCCGTGGAATCAAGGTAAGTGTTTGGCTTAACCTTAGCTTGAGGGAATATGAGTTGTGGTCTATTTGCTATGTGTTTGTATCGAGTACGACGTATAGGTGTGGTGACGAGTATCTATACATTGGTGTCAATCATGCCCGTGAGTCTTATACCATGATTGTTGTGACTCTATTATGTATCGATCATGCTCAATTGATGATTATTAATGTTGAACAAAGCTCATGAAAGTTTCTTGGTAATTGACTATTGTTGAGTATTGACTCAACTTGAAGTTTCATTTTGTAAAGAAATTGTTGAAACGAGATTGGTTATAGCTGAATCCCTTACCAGGATGTTTGTTGATATTGTTGATTCCCTTGCCGGGATGTTTGTTGATATTATTGATTCCCTTGCCGGAATAGTATTGTTGGTATTGTTGATTCCCTTGCTGGGACATATTATTTTCTATTGATTGGGTGAGGAAGAGTGTAAAGTACGAAGGGTGATGCTGTGCATGATATTGTGAGAGAGTGTAAAACACGAAGGGTGATGTCGTGCCGATATTATGAGTGTTAATGCACGAAGGGTGATGTCGTGCCATGATTTGAGAGTTAATGCACGAAGGGTGACGCCGTGCCGATATTATGAGTGTTAATGAAACGAAGGGTGATGCCGTGCTATGATTTGAGAGTTAATGCACGAAGGGTGATGGCGTGCCGATATTGTGAGGAATAATACACGAAGTGTGATGCCGTGCCATGATTATGTGAGGTAATGCACGAAGGGTGATATCGTGCCATTTCTGTTGATTTGTATGGTGAGGATGAGAGTAAAAGCACGAAGGGTGATGTCGTGCACGTGTTACCGTTTTATTATTCTTGTTGATTTATATATGATGTTCATTATGCTTCCTTATTGATGCTTCCTTATTGGTTTACTGTTAGAATCTGATACTTTCCCCGTAGCATGTCCCCTTCCCACCTTATTCTGTTGATTTCTGTTATTATGTTTCTGCTTGTATATGATTTGTCCGCACAGGTGCATATGATTGTCGTATCCTAGCCTCGTCACTACTTCGCCAAGGTTAGGCTCGACACTTACTCAGTACATGGGGTCGGTTGTACTGATACTACACTCTGCACTCGTTTGTGCAGATTTTGGTATTGGACCCAGTGAGTAGCCGAGGTAGTTGTCTTCAGTCCAGGGAGACCAACGTAGATCTGCTGGCGTCCGCAGAGCCTAAAATCCCCCTTCCCTGTTTAGCTTTTCTACTGTCTCTTATCATTCCGAGAACAGTTGTACTTTTCTTTCCAGACTTATATTTGTAGTAAAAATCTTAGTCGTTCGTGAATTTGTGACACCAAATTCGTGGGTAGACATGTATTGAAGTATTTGGATTTATGCTAACTCTTCTGCACTTATCATTTGTTTAACTTTAGCTTCTGTTTATAATTGTTTAGGTTGATTGTTATTGAGTAGAACCGTAATAGTAGGCTTGCCTAGCTTTCACAAGTAGGCGCCATCACGACTCCCGAGGGTGGAAAATCCGGGTCGTGATAGTTTTTAGAGTACTTAATAATCCTATCTCTTATTGAAGTGTATGATTCTGGTTATAGTAATTTTCAGTTTTAAAATTATGTCTCGCCACCTATGTCATTTTCTCCTTGTTCGTGCAATTAGGGATGCTTATCGGGCGGATCGGCGGATAATTACACTTAACAGTTCGGCTTAACGATTATCGGATTATAAATATAGTAATTCGCTAGCCATCCAATAAGATAACGGGCGGAATGGTATCGGATTAATAATTATCGAGCGGTTATCGAGCGGCTTATCGCCTAAACCAAATAAAAATATTTTGAACAATCATTCAATCAATATCACTACTACACATACTGTCATACAAATATTAACCAACAGATATTCCTTTCGTCCTTATATTCTTACACCTTCACTTTATAGTTTACACACCCCAAATACATGCAAGATGCATAACACATGCACATTTTGGGTATTCTCAATTACCTATACATCCCATTTCATCAATACCAAGACTACACATACTGTCATATACATATTAACCAAATTTGTAAAACTAGAAAAGCACATTAGTTCAGTAATCAATTGAGAATTAGGAAATAGAAATTAGGGATTTAGCCATTTAGGGTTTCAATAGCACTTTATATACATAGGGGTAAAAGTATAAGTATAAAAATTCTTAACGGGTCAACGGTTTACCCGATAAGAAAATTGGGTAATCCGCCCCCAAACTGTTAAGCCGTTAATTATAAAATCTCAATCTGTTTTCCATCCATTACCCTGGTAATTCGATACCAATAAGTCATCGGTTCGATTCGATTAATGGTTTCGATTCGATTTTGATCGGCCCTACGTGCAATAGCGATTCCATATGCTACAAATCCAACTGCTAAAATAAATTCAACTGTAAAGGCTCTGTTGGTCCATCATTTATCAATAACAAGGCCGTCCAAGCATTTATATGAAAAGACTTTCTCACGGCCCTTATATTTAATAGAAAAATAATACAGGTATGTCCATTTATAAGTAGTTCATTACAAAAATTGGTTACTTCTTAAAGTATTACTAATATTAGCCAAATATTACTCTAATATTAGCCAACTAGCTATTTGTAACAAAAAAAGGTCAAATTTTTACTTTCTTTTGAGTGGGTGTTATTAGAATAGATTGGGTACATCTTAAGGAACTTGAATCTCAGTTTTGGGATGATTTGGTGAAGTTTTGGGGTGGTTTGAATTGAAAATTCGAAGTAAAAACTGAACATTAAAAAAAAAAGGCAAATACATATACAACACATTCAACTTGGCCCCAATTTTTATTTTTGGCACTCTATCTCAACATTGTCCCATTTTGGCCCTCCAACTCTGTGTATCATTGGTGTATCACATATGTATCATATTTGTACCAATTGTATATCACATGTATATCCATGTATACCCGTGTGTGAGATACATGCGTGATACATGTACGCAGAAGAATTTTTTGAACTCGATTTAATTACGAATTTTGTTACAAAATCAGTCCAAATCATCTCCAATCTATATGTTTTCAAGTAATTTCAACTATACCCACTGAAAAAGTTCCTTTTTTGCTTAAATTTTTGGAATATTGTATTTTTTTTTTTGTATTTCATCACCTTATTTGCTACCTCATCCATGAAATTTCCTTTCCGTCTTGCATTTACTGTTTCTAATCACGCTTAAAAATATGGAAGGAGATTTTTATATGTGATTCTTTGAGAGAAAGAACCTTATTTATTTGGTTTTTCAATTTTTATATGTGCTTGGCTAGTTTTGGTAAGTCTATGATTAATGGCTAGAAGTTGATAAGTTGAGACATATTTGGGATATTTGTATAAGTTGACGT